GCCCGCGCCCGCAGCCCCCGGCGGGCCACCCGCCGCGCGCCTTAGCCGGTGGGAGCTAGGACCCTGCCCCGCGCCAGGCGGGGAAGCTGGCAGTACCGGGGGTTGGTCGCACCCGGAGGGGAGGCGAGGGGCGCCGGGGCCGCGAGTCCGAGGCCGGTGCGCCCAGTGGAAAGCCCTTCGCTTTACGCGTTGCCGGGGTTCCAGTGAGACGGTCTCCCGGAACCTCCTGGCGCTCACGGTCGTTCCTGGAACGCACGGTTTTTGAACCCCGACTGTGAGCCGGGCCTTGTGCCGAGACAGACATTCGCGGTGGCTGCTCAGCTCGGGGGCGGGGGTGGGGTGTGAGTGGACCGCGCGCTCTGACACGCTGAGGCTGCCTTAGTCACCTCCATCCTTGGGCTGCCTCCTCGCCCCCGCAGCCCGAGGACCTGATGAACATGCAGCACTGCAACCTCCTCTGCCTGCCCGAAAACTACCAGATGAAGTACTACTTCTACCACGGCCTCTCCTGGCCCCAGGTGCGCGGCTGTAGCCTTTTCGGGCGGGCAAAGCCACTCGTGGCAGCTTTGGAGGAGTGGAGGAGGTTGTCTGGAGCCCAGGGGGCTGGCTGTCGGGTCGGGTCGGGGAGGCCCAGAGAGAAGGCGGTCCCTGAACGCCAGGCGAAGGCCCAGACTCCCACCTTTCTCTGCCTCCTCTTCCGGGTTGAGGCCCGGGCACACTGTGGAGTGGGCAAACCAGCAGCCTGGCCTGGAAGTCGGGAGGACAACAACTTCAAGGACTTCTTCCTCTTCCTGTTCCTAGCTCTCTTACATCGCAGAGGATGAGAATGGGAAGATTGTGGGGTATGTCCTGGCCAAAATGTGAGTCTCCAAGAAGGGAGAGAGAAGTTCGGGACTGGGCGGGGGAGTCTCAGGGGCTCCAACACTGTATATTTTCGGTGGGGCTGCACGTGCGTTTTAAAAACAATGCGTGGATTTTATTTGTAGAGCAGTTGTAGGGTTACAGAAAAATTACACGGAAAGGGTAGCTTCTACGCATCTTTTTTCTGCCGTCACGTTGTTATCGTCTTGCCTCCTGTGATGCTACGTTTGCTACAGTTAATGATCCAGTGTTGATACATTATTATTGCCTTAAGACTGCTCTGTGCTCCACATATTCTTCCGTGTCTCTCCCCGACCTCCTCACAACCGCCGATGTTCTCACCACCGTCTCCATGGTCTTACCTTTTCCAGCACGTCGGACGGTTGGAGTCCCACGGGATGTAGCCTTTTCAGACTGGCTCCTTTCACTTAGCAATACGCACAGGAGCTTCCTCCATGTCTTTCGGTGGCTTGGCAGTTCATTTCCTTTTATCGTTAAAGACTCTTCTGTTGTATTCCGTTGACGCTGCACGTTCTGGTGGCTGCTTCGTAAGATTTTGAGGCAGCAATGGGGGTGCAGTGTCAGCTTCTCTGGCGGGAAAGGTTACTCCCTCCTCCCCCAGCTGTGGGGCCTTTAGGGCCCGCCTGATCTCGTGTTTCCTCACCGTAGGGAAGAGGACCCAGATGACGTACCCCACGGACACATCACATCACTGGTGCGTAGACGCCACCCCCAGGCTCTGGTGGGGTGGGAGGAGGCTCAGTTGGGGCAGCTCTTGAGCCGCTGCCGGCTCCTCTGCCACCAGGCTGTGAAGCGTTCACACCGACGCCTGGGCCTGGCGCAGAAGCTGATGGACCAGGCCTCCCGAGCTATGATCGAAAACTTCAATGCCAAATACGTCTCCCTGCACGTCAGAAAGAGGTGGAAGCCAGGGCTGGGGGGAGGGGGAGGGGGAGGGGAAGATCATCTTGACGAGAGTCCTGGGGTGCCCTGGCTTTGGGGGTTGTTGGGAAGGGGACGCGGTGGGGGAAGGGTGGGACCCAGATGTGCTAGCCTCTCCCTGGCCAAGCCTGTGCAGCTCAGCAGTGCCTTATTCCCCTGCAGTAACCGGGCCGCTCTGCACCTCTATTCCAACACTCTCAACTTTCAGTAAGTACATCTAGACTCTTCTAAGGGGCTGGGGCTGGTCCTGGGTCTGGCCCCTGTGGAGGGCTGCAGTGGACTAAGTTGTTCTCCAGCCAGGGGGATGGGGCAGTTGGAGGCGACCTGGAGTCTGTTGAGATGGGGAGGCAGACATGGGCCCTGACGCAGCCAAGGTACCTCCTCGACACGCAGGAACCGCTGCTTGCAGAGCTGACGTGGGGAAAGCACGTGTGCTCTGGCATGTGCTCACTGTGCTGTGAGCGCAGGAGGAGGTGTGCGGGTGTCTCACTGATTGGGGAGCAGTCATTGGTGCTGGCTGAGGCTAGGTGAAGGGCAGTGTTGAGAAGAGCCCAGGTGGCTTTTTAGTGACAGCTTGAGAGCAGAGAGATGAGGGCTTAGAACACGAGGAGAGGCTGAGAAGGACCAAAAGTGGCCAGGGATCTAGAAGCTTCTAAGTGAGAACGGGAGTGCTCTGGAAACCTTAAGAATGTCTCGGAGAGACGGGCTTTCAGGAAGAGCAGGGGAGGGATCTAGAACCCTGGACATCCTGGTGGATGGGGGCAGGATGGCTCAGGGAGGCGGGAGTCCCCACGTGCCCAGCTCTCGAAGGCCGCACCCAGAACGCAGTGGCAAAAGACAGTGCTCAGCTTCACTTTGGTGGGGGAGGAAGAGGAGTGCTGTCGGGGAAGGTGGTGGTCTCCAGAGCTGGACATTCAAGGAGGGATCTTTGCTCTGGGTAAGGATGCTTCTGGTGGCAGCTGCTTCATAGGCTGAACCAGCAGGTCCACTTCTCTTTTAGAAGCAGGCTGCCTGAGTCTGCAGCAGCCCCTTTCCTTTGCTTTCGATGTGCTCGGTAACAGGGAAGACCAAATCCAGGGCTTCAGCGCTCCAAAAGCCACAGCGATGGGCCCTTGGTGGCCACGTTAGAAATGCCGAGTGGTCACAGGATCTGTGGGGGAGAAGGCTCTGGGCACTGCATTCTGCCTTCTGTTTGGCTTTGCTGGCGAGGGCCGCGGGAAGGCCATGGTGGAAATGGTGCTCCTGGAAGTCAGGCTCTTCGGGCTGGGTTTGCTGTCTCCAAAAGGGTCCTTCCGGGGGAAGAAATGACACCCTGCCCCACTTGCATGTGGTGCTAGAAGGCTGAGGAGAAGCGGCTCCCAGAAGTGGGTCTTCCTCCTTGTTCCCCACCCCCTGCCCCAGGATCAGTGAAGTGGAACCCAAATACTACGCAGATGGGGAAGACGCTTACGCCATGAAGCGGGACCTCACACAGATGGCAGACGAGGTAGGAGTCCTGCCGGGCCCAGGCGCAGTCCCCATAGGTGGAGACAGGAAGGCAAGTAGGGGAAAGCCTGCTAGAGGGGACAGTGGCAGTTCTTGGAAGCTCTGAGCCAGTGAAGGCAAACAGTGGCCGGGAAGTGAGACTGGATGGCAGCCCTTGCTGCCACATTGCTGGGAGTCATAGATCCTCTTGATCTCAGTTTCCCAAGCTGTAAAGTGGGGAGATGGGACTTGGCTGGGCTTTAAAAGAGCCCGTCCACCCAAGATTCTGCTAAGAAGCCTGGGTGCACCCTGGGCGTGATGCAGGAGGAGGAGCCGCACAGCTGCCAGGGCCCAGAGGTGGCCGGGGCCTGGGGATAGCCACAGCCTGCCCCCAGGCAGGGCCCAGGGATGGCCGGGACCTGGGGATAGCCACGGCCTGCCCGCAGGTTTGGGCTTAAGACAGAACAGGGCTGAGAAGAACAGTTGGGTCCTGGCCAGGGCAGTATAAGGGCGTAGCTCTCTGCATGAGCAAGGGCCGATCACCCTCATGTGACTGGTGAGAAAACGGAGCCCAGAGAGGAGCAGGGCCTTGAACAAGTTCGTAGCAGAGCCGGGACTCAGCCTAGGCCTCTCAACTCAGTCCCGGGTTCCCTGTCCTGGTCCACTGCCTCTCACCTTGTCCTCTGTCCCCAAGGGATAAGGGTTGCCTAAGCCTTGTGAACTACCCATCCTTGGCTCCCAAAAGCTCTGGGGACTTAGGCCCCTGTCTCTTTCCTCCTGCTTCTCCCTGGGGTGCTGGTGGCAGCTGAGGCGGCAGCTGGAACTGAAGGAGAAGGGCAGGCATGTGGTGCTGGGGCCCATCGAGAACAAGGTGGAGGCCAAAGGCAATTCACTTCCAAGCTCGGGCGAGGCCTGCCGGGAGGAGAAGGGCCTGGCTGCTGAGGATAGTGGTGGTGACAGCAAGGACCTCAGTGAGGTCAGCGAGACCACGGAGAGCACTGATGTCAAGGACAGCTCAGAGGCCTCCGACTCGGCCTGCTAGAGCCTGCCAGGGCACTTCTCCCCGCCCGCCCTGCCTCCCTTCACTCTGGCCCGACCCAGCCCAACCTCGCCCCACTAGCTTTCCCAATAAAGCTCACCCCATGGTCTTGGGGAATCTGTGTGTGAGTGTGCACGTTTGGTTGGCAAGCCTCTCTCCGGCCCTTCTGTGTCCATGTGGACGTGAACTTGACAGCCTTTTGGCCCAGACCATCCCGCCAGGTCCGAGAAGGGAAGAGCATTTCTGGGGCTTTGGTGGCAGGCTCCCAGTGGCTTCTGCTGCTGCCCTGCTGGATGGCCTTTAGACCCAGAGGAGGGAGGCTGGGCCTCAGCATCCTCCCGAGTATTCCAGGGTTGAACTGGGTGATACCAGAACCTGGACTGCCTGTTCCTGAGGGACAAGCCTTGGCTAGCCAGCACAAAGATGCTTCTGCCACCCGTGGTCTCCTTTCCGGCCTCTGCTTCGGCCCCTGTGGTGAGTGTTGGTCTGCCCAGGGTCCTGCCTTCAGCCTGGCTCTCTGCTACCGGCTCTCCAGTTCACACCTCCTGCACCCCAGACCCTTAGGTCCAACTGCTTATCTGTAGATAACTCCAGATGTCCTGTCTGGGTAACAGCCCAGCCATCTGTCCAGTTGCCCAAGCTTTGTCAACTGCCCACCCTTGACTCCTCCCTCTCCCCTCCGGTCCCAGCGGTCACCAAGTCCTGTGTGTCCCACTGCTGTGAAACCTCTTGACCCTACTCATTTTTAAAAAATACTGTTTTTCAGTACAGTTTTAGACTTACAAAATCACCAAAGAGATGGTACATAGAGTTCCGTCTCTTCCACCCCTCAATCCCCACAGCTGCCCGGGTGGTTCTCTTGCGTTTGTGTGGTGTGTTTATGATTGAAGAACCGATTTTGAAACATTAACCATAGCCCATAGTTGACATGAGGGGTCACTCTTGGTGTCCTGCAGCCCTATGGGTACTAACAAGTGCATAGTGACATGTGGCCACCGTTCTCATGGCCTCACCCTAACCCTAATTTGGTGCTGTGCCTTTTGTCCCTGCCCTTCCCTCGGTCTGAAACGCCATGAGCTGCTGCTCCTGGTCCCTGTGCCGGGCGCTGCCTAGGCCCGCCCACCTCCCGGGGCAGGCAAGCGCTCGCGCTGAGCGATTCCACTCTTTCAGCCCCTCGTGCTGTGCCAGGCGCGGGTCACAGTACGGGAGGCAGCCGGTGAAGCTCCGACGAGAGAGCGGGGAGGAGGACTGGAGGGGCGCGCGTACGCAGCCCGCTGCTCTCCAGCCTGCCGGCTCGGGCGAGGCTATGCTCTGATTGGCTCAAGCCTCAGGCCTCCCGGCAGTATTGGTGACGTGAAGTCTTGCCCCGCCCATCGCGCCTTACGACGGTCCCTTCCGGTTCGCAAGCCGCGGCGGGCTTCGTTCCCAGGCTCTGATTGGTCCCAGGCGGCGGGGGGCGGGCTCTGCGCTGCCCTGAGCCGCGGCGCGCGGAGGGGCGCTGGTGTGCGGGAGCTTGCGGCGGCTCTGTTGAAAGGCTGTGCCCTCTTCCTTCCCTTCTGGCCCGGCCCGCCCTCCTGCCCTCGGCCCCCGCGCCCTGGACTGGCCGGGTGGACGCTTGGCTTCCCCTCCGCTGACATGCAAATGAGCTTTTAAGGGCGGTTGGGTTTCCTGGGCAGAGGGGAAGGGGAAGCCGGAGGCCCGTCTGGCTCTTGGGGCCCAGCGCTTCCCCACCTCTGCAGCCCAGGCCTCCCAAACGGTGGGACTGGGACGGGCTCCGGGGCCTGTTCTCCAGGACATGAACCTATACACACCGACGCGCCGCCTTGACCCCTGAAGCCCCTTTGTTACACGTCTGTCCTCAGGGATAGCTGACTTGTAGGAAAATAGGAGCGCCTCACTGCCCAATTCAGGCGCTCATCTACTCTCTCTCCAGACAGTTGTCACAGCCGTCCCAGTGACGCGCTGAGCTCCTTCCCTCCACGCAGCAGACCTGACCAATCAGCCCCCCTAGAACCTCCCCAGAACTCCTCCACAGTTCAGCCAGGTCCACAAATCTGGTCCTCGTCTTCTGCAGGATCACGGGATTGGGATCCTTGGAAGGGCATCAGTGGATGGAGCAAGCAGTGGAGCCCGGTTTCACGCAAGCCCTTAAATGCTAGTGAGGGTCCTAAAAGCCAGGGTGGAGTCAGAAAAGGACGCAAAGGGGCATTTGAAAGCAGGGCTCAGTCCAGTTCGGCAGATGTTCCTGTGGGCTGGTGCCCTGTGCCTGGCTCTGCCGGATGGATGAGGGAGCTTTGAGGACCAGACACAGCTCAGATGGAGGGGGAAAGGGCAAGGGGTATTGGGGTTAGCTGATGAGGGGCATAGGTCCCCGGTCCCCCTTGGCCAGAGGCGGTGAAGGGACGTGTGGGTCTCCCTCCTGACACAGGTGCAGGTTAGGTTGTGGGTGTGCCTGTCTGCCCCGGGGGGAAGGGCAGGAAGCTCGCCTGTCTTGCTGGAGGACTGGCGCATTGGTACTGCTCAGATCAGCTGCCGGAAGCCCAGGTCCTGGGCCTGCTGGGGTCTGGCCAGCTCCCAGGCCTTGAAGCTCCAAGCCCTGTGGACACATGGCAACTTAGGGAAGGGTCTTGGTACTGAGGATGGGGGTATGTTTTCCTCTTCAGAGCAAGAGAATTGCTTATAGTTGCAAGGCAGGAAATACCTGCCCCAGTCCCTCTCCTCCCCCGCGCGTCCTCCCCACATTTGCAGGTAGCCTGACTTTGACTTCCAGGTCCGGAGTGCTGGGACTCCTGCCACTAGTGTCTGCAGGCCTGCCTTCAGGGGCCAAAGCCTGGGGCCTAACTATCTCTGCTCCTCTCCCACCATCTCTACCCCAGGGATTCCCCTCCCACCTAAGTGAAGACGCTAGTCTGCTTGTCTCTCGCCATCTGCATCCTGCCTTCCCAATTTAACGGAGAAAAGCTGTTGTCTTGTGGCTTTGAGGTGGTGGAGAGGGTTGGAGGGAAACCCCAGCACCCCTGGATGAGGGAGAACCCAGGACTTGCTCCCTTAAGGCCTTGCTCTGAGGGGGCAGGAGGAGGGCTGCCCCCTATCCCCAGGCCCAGGATGGGGCAGGTGCAAAGTGCGGGGAGAGGAGGCAAGAAGAGCCACTTCCGGCAGCAGGAAGTGGTAACCACCTATGGAGAAATGAGGCTCCTTCCTCCCTGCCGGGTCGGGTCGAGCAGAAGGGGAACCTCAGGCCAAGGCCTCTCTCTTCCTGCCTTGAAGGCGCCTGGAGGGAACTCAGGGCCAAGGTGCTGTTCTTGGTGGCCGACCTCCCTCCCCTCTGCTGGCTCCTGGGGTTCATCTCTCAGGGGCGGTGATTCGGGAAGGGGGGGAAGGGGGAGCCCATCTGATGTCCTGGGGGTCCGGGGAAAGCAGGCGACAGAGGGGGAGCCGAGGGCCAGAGTAGCTATGGCGTCACTGCCCGCTGGCAATGAGGGTCCAGGGGCCGTGAGGTGGAGGATGCAGAGTGGGGAGGAGGTGTGGGAGGGGGACGGCAGCCGGGGGGTTCCGGTTTGCTGGGCATCTTGGGGCTCCCACGGCTGCCCCGGGTACTGGGCACAAGCCAGCCCAGATGGGGGCCCAGCGCGAGGGAGGGGCAAGGCCAGGCCTGGGCCCGGAGCCCCTGGGCGGGCAGTGCCAGGCGGGGCGCGGGGGCC